AGGACCTGACGGCCAATGTCACCTGAGGCTCATTATTTTTGCCCTTCATCTCCCTGGCAACCTTCACCTCCTCCTGTAGGCACTTCCATCCCACACATGAACAGTCTCCTTTACCCCCATGGTTGTGCGGTGTGCTCCCAGCAGCTATATGGTTGCCCCTCAGCCATAGCTGACTGCTTTGGGAGAGGGCTGCAGACTTCAGTTGGGCCAATTGCAGATCCTTCCCTGGGAATCAAGACATTTGACCTAAGACAGATGAGGCTCAGTCAAAGCTGAGCTCTTATTTTTCTTTTTTTAAAGATTTTATTTGTTCATCTGAGAGAGAAAGAGAGAGAGACACACACACACAGAGAGACTGCATACATGAGCAGCAGGAGGGAGAAGCAGACTCTCCACTGAGCAGGGAGGCCGACATGAGGCTCGATCCCCAGACCCTGAGACCATATCTTGAGCTGAAGGCAGACGCTTAACCAACTGAGCCCCCCAGGTGCCCCAAAGCTGAGCTCTTAAGAAAAACCAAGGGCCGTGGCATCACGATCCAGCCATTCACTCAACGAATACTTAGCGAGCACCCGTGCTATGCCGGCCCTGGTGCTTTCCATCTTCTGCAGGCCAGAGCGAGTCTCAGAGAACTGTCTGGGTTCCTGATGGCTTTTCCAGGTCTCAGTCCCCATCCTCCCTGAAGCCCACCACACGGCTGCCCCGAACTTCCCAAGACCCTCCTCAGTCTTCGCCACAAATGATTCACAAGAAATGATGAAGTCATGCATTTTGTTGGTATCTTCATTGCAACTGAAAGAGTTTCAATTCTGATCTCTTTTCACTACCAGCTTCTCAGGGCCTGCCAAGCAGCTTTTCCATCTGCCCTTGTGGGCCCAAGGCGATGAAGCTCTCATCTCAATTCAGAAAAGGGCCCAGAGGTAAGCACCGGGTCTTCTTTGAGTCTTTTTCCTAAATCTTTTAATATTTTCCAATTAAGCACGGCCACATAGGAAATGGAACAACAACAACAAAAACCTTCTTAAAAAACATTTATAAAAGGAGGTAAAAGGGCCTCACGCAATTTCATTAGATAAAACCTACCCTCCTCATGCCAATTCCAGCAGAGAAAACATCTTGGCAAATCATGTCCTTTAGTCAAAACAAGTTGGGGGCCAAACACATGGAGTAGATATAAAGTCTATTATTTTCAGGAGACTGAAATCCAAACCACAAATTCCAGAAATGCATTTTTAAGAGTGCTGCCTATTAGACAAGCTAGTTTTAAATTAAATTAACGTTGAAGCATACCTTACCAGGTATGTTTCGATTTATTTATTAGATCACTATCAAGCTTTCCTGTAAGGAGATCAAGGTGCTCTGTGCACAAGCATCTTGGAGAAATGCTTGGTTGTTTGAAGAATGTCAGGCTCTGCCAAAGCTGTCTCTCCCCAGTTTGATAGTCCCCCCGCCTTCCTCCAGGGCACTGGCCTTTGAAGCCCACAGCTTTATGTGGCTAACCACAAGTCTATCCTCTGTTTGACGAGTGTACGTCGCTGACGCGGAACACTGTCTCAGCACCATCCAAAGAATGGTCTTGTGGGCACACTCGCTCTTCTCCCCAGCTCATCTGCTTTACCTTCCAGGGCCTGACATAGTGAACCCAGCAGAGGAAAGTCCTGTAGTGTCTTATCACACAGGAAGGTTTTGTTTGGTTGGTTGGTTGTTGATTGGTTTTGAGATTATATTACTAAAAAAAATTATGGCAAACAGGCAGGTGTCTCATTATCAAAGCTTTTCTGGGAGCACTTATTTTGAAGCCAATGTCAAGAGCACCAGAGAATGTTCTATCCTGTAGCCTGGAGGGAAAACTCTCAGAATCTGCCACATGCTGTCCTGTCAGGCTGGACAGCCAAGGGCATATTCAGGCCCAGTGCAGACTGTGTTTTCCAAAAGTGGCCATGACAATAATTTCTGCACTTCATGTTCCTGCTCCCTTTCCAAGAGGAGGAGAGTGTGTCCTCTCTCCTTGAACCCAGCTGCGTACGTGTAACTGCCTCAACCAACAGAGCACTGTGGATGGGACGCCACATGATTTCTGAGGTTTCTATCTGGCTCTCTGTTAGAACGCTTGCCCTTGAACGCAGCCATCATGTTGTGAAGGAAGCTCAGGGTGACAGAGAGGAACCTCATCCCTTCACTCACGGGCCAGGCTGGGCCACCAGCTGATGGGCAGCATCAACCTGCTGGCACGCAGGGGTGCCATCTTGAAGGTGAATCGCTCTCTGTTGCGCTCTGCCCAGAGTCCAGATTCACGAATGAAATCAGTGATCAATAGTACGTTAAGTCAGTGTTTTGGGATGGCTTCTTACGCAGCAAGAGATAGCCAGAACAGAATAGGGGACTTCTCTGGACAGCCTTTACAGAGGAAAGCACATGAAAGCAACGCGGGAAGGAGATGGTAACAAGTTACGGTAGGACACAGAGGGAGGTTCGGACTTCAATCAGGGCAAACTGCAGCATCCTTGACTTCTCTCGCACAGAGTTTTGGTTTGAGGCAGAGACTCTTAAACACACATCTTGCAAGCTCTTCTCTCCACGGGCCTCAGAGAAGAGTAGAACACACGCTCTCCTGATGGCTTCCCTCCATCTCAAAGACGGAGCTCCTTGGGAAATCACAGTTAGTCCTCAAGGCCCTACTGACTGTTCTTCTCTACATTTTATCCCATTTGTTTTGTTCCAACCCTGAATGCACGAGCCAGAGGTAATGTTCCTTTTCAAGTTCCACGGTGTTGTGGGAAGTCAGCCATGCAAGCCCATTTAGCAACAGAACAAAACTCCTCTCCATTGGTGTGGCGGGGTGGGGAGGGCTTTGTGCCCAGCCTGCCGAGACTTCCCAGTCCCTGCAGACTGATGACATCCCCTGGCAACTGAGAGCACAGCCTGGCAGCTGGGGGCTGAGGAACGGATTCTGACAGCTGCTGGGAAAATACAAATTCTTCTTTTTTCTGAAATGCATTACTTGGGAACTTCCCTTTGAGATCCGTCTCAAGGGGCCAGAGCATTTCTTCATGAGTCCCAACCCCAGGGATAGGAAGTCAGAGAAACACAACAGCCCAGGATGGCCCCAAGCATCTTCCTAGGCAAAAATCCTCCTTAGGACAGTAAAGCTTCTAGTCAGAGACAGAGCTGCAGAAAACACTCTGCAGAGCATAAAAGGGGAATTTAAAAATGTGATGTGTCACGGTTCATGAAACAGTAATGGAAAACGCAAGCCGATCGTCTCCCACAAGGGAGGCTCCATATTGACCTGATACTTGCAAAGTCCAGGAGCACAGGAAAGGCACCGTGCCCTCAGAAGCAATACAATTTTTTGTTTCAGCCAGTGTTTCCCAAACAAATTTGGTCACAGGACCCATTTGCTAAGAAGAAACAGTTGTCTCTGCAGGACACCACTGGCCAAGAGCGAGACGGAGGCCTCGTCTTGTCTGCACTGTGTGTCTCCGCCGACTGCAAACGTGTCTGGTGAGCAGAGAGCAGGCAGGCTGGAACCTTCACTGTGTCCCCGGCCAACCATAGAGGCAGCGGCCTGACTGGAGAAGCACATGGGGCCTGTGGAGCCGGCCTCAGACCTCCCTGCCTGGGTCCTGAAAGCCCACACTTGTCATTTTAGCCTCTTGTCAGGGCAAAATCCAAGCTCGTGAGGGAAGGAAGAGGGTACTCAAGTGGAGAAGGGTTTGGAGACCACGTCTAGTCTGGAAGTTTCTACAAAAACTAGCCATCGGGAAGGGCTACTGGACAACCTTAGGCTTACATTCGACAGAGGATCCCCCACACACTTTTAAGAAGTTGATCTGTAATACATTATTTATTAAAAAGAAATATATAGGGCGCCTGGGTGGCTCAGTGGGTTAAAGCCTCTGCCTTCGGCTCAGGTCATAATCCCAGGGTTCTGGGATCGAGCCCCACATTGGGCTCTCTGCTCAGTGGGGAGCCTGCTTCCCCCCCCACCCCCCACCACTGCCTGCCTCTCTGCCTACTTGTGATCTCTCTCTCTGTGTCAAATAAATAAATAAAAGGTTTAAAAATAAATAAGTAAATAAGTAAATAAATAAATAGGGGTAAAATCCAGCTGCCACACAGAGTAACAGTCAGTGCTAATTGGAGGCAGCAGGACGGAGACCCGGGTGGCCCCTCCAGCCCACTTAACTGCTTTGTCTAGAGTCTCATTGTCTGGTTTCTGTCCTCTGGCTGTTCGAGTGGACCAGTTTTCCTGGCATATGCATTTATTGAACTCTGAAAGGCCAGATCATCTCTGTAGATTAATCCATGATTTCAAAGATGCTTTGAAGTAGGCAAAACATTCTGTTATTTCCAAGAGTTATTACAACTGAAATCCTGGCATAGACTAGGAGGCCAGCCTGTAATCTTGTTTAGATCCTTTTAAATTTAGAAACTTTATAGTGAGTTAAAAATAGATCTCATTTGTGTACTTTTCCTCCTTTCATCCTCATGGCAAAGGCTGTTCAGTCATTTTGACCTCTCCTTGATATTAGCCAGAGAAAGTCTAGCCCTTGGCAACTGGGAGTCCACCAGGCTAAAACAAAAGTTTTTTGAATGGATTTGGGGGTGATGCGAGTCATGGGACTGAGTAGAGTCATTCACTACTCTACAGAAGTTCTAGAATTAAGAGCAAAAGACCATCATCAAGACCTGTGACTAGCATACGGATTAGGTGAAATGTGAGCCGAGGAGTTGAAATGTTCTCATTTATGTTATCCTAGGGGGCTTGTATCCTCACATGCCAACTGAAAAAACACCATAGCGCTTAGGTCAAAAGAAGCTGGCTAAGGCTGGAAGGTCAGGTTGCTTATGACCAAAGTTAAATAAAGATGGCACCTGATTTCAGAAGAGCCCAAACACCAGAGGTTGTCCTATATGGTCCTCCTCAGGGTGAACTGGTGGCAGCATTTTCAGCAAGCCAGCAAAGACAGCAAGACAGATAATCAGGATTACTTTACCTTCATAAACATGCTGAATCCAGTTTTAAGGAGGTCAGTGAGGCCTGAAGACATGTGTTCAATATCCACTGGGTCTGGCTTCTCAGGATTAAATATTTCTTCCACAACCTGCTTCAACAATGGCTTGTAGGATGCCTGGAAGGACAAAATACTGTGTTGTAAGTTAAAGGGTTTGTTTGGTTTCTCTGGAGAGACAATAGCTTTATCTGCACCAAATGAAGCAAAACACGTTTATTTTGACACTGAGCAATGGCTATGACTTTGTGTGTATGAAAAGGCAACTATAACAACATTGGGTTCTTTTGGGTAAATTTCACCCTAATACCCTAATGCCATTTTTAATTCTTATCCCCTTCTACTAGCAAGTATCTCTTGTCAGAGCTGTAATCCTAGTAGGACTACTTTTTTAAAATCTGGGTTTAAAGGGACAATTTTGGGGCACCTGGGTGGCTCAGTGGGTTAACCCTCTGCCTTCGGCTCAGGCCATGATCTCAGGGTCCTGAGATCGAGCCCCACATGGGGTTTTCTGTTCTGTAGGGAGCCTGCTTTCGCCCCTCTCTCTGCCTGCCTTTCTGCCTACTTGTGATCTCTCTCTCTCTCTGTCAAATAAATAAATAAATAATCTTAAAAAAATAAAATAAACTGACAATTTTATAGATGAAGAATACGGAAAAGCAAAGTATTGTCATTTGACACAGACATGAAGATGGTCTCCAATTTTCCTGAACATTCTTAGGGTTATGCTCCCCTCTGCTAGGAACTGGCATGTTTTCATACGATGTATTGCCACGATCTAAGCCTAATGCAATCCCTTCTTCCTCTATAGAGCTCAACTCCAAGTAGGATTTGGCCAGAAAACAAAGTCATGATGCCAAACAGGAATGTGGCCAAGGTCAGGCTTAGAAAAAGCAGGCCATGTGGTACTGTAAGAATTCCAGTAGAGTGAAGTTGATGTTGATTTGCTACGGCTCCTACAGTCTGATCAGTGGTGCATCTCTGCCTGTCCTGACGATATTTCTGTTTTGGACCAGGGCACTTTCTGGGCATGTCCCCCACTCCTCGTGCCTTGTTCTTCTTCCTCCAAGCTCTTCCTCATCCTCTGTTCTTCCCTTCGCACCAGCTGACCGCCCTCCTCCCAGACCTGCTCTGTCTCTGCTCTCCAGTCCCACAGGGCACGTGAGTTTGGAGCTTGAACGCGGAGAGAAACACTGTCTCCTCTCCACGCACTCGGGTGATTATTACCGCCTCGGAAAAGCCAGGTTCCGATGGAGCCAGATGTTTTGAACTCTTTGGCTCTTGGCCTGGGCCGAATCTGTGACCTGCCTCTAGCAAGTTCTAGAATTAAGAGCAAGAGACCATCGTCCAGACCTATGGCTGGTCCATGCGTTAAGTGAAAATGCTGAGGCCGTTGGGTAAATTGACTTCATCTCTGGCTTTACCTTGCTTTCCTTACAGTCATTTTTTTACTATTATTTTCCCTTTATCCCAACTTTCTTCCTTAAAATATTTTAGGAAAAAAACAGGGTACAAATCATCAAAATAACAATTATTTAGGGGCACCTGGCTGTCTCAGTCGGTAGAGCACATGGCTCTTGATCTTGGAGTGGTAGGTTTGAGCCCCATGTTGCGTGTAAAGATGGCTTAAAAATAAAATCTTAGGAAAACACTATCATTTAGCTAGAATGTCACGTGCATCTATCAGGGACAGAATGCAGGGAAAAGTAGCAACTGTTCACCGGACAGGTGCAGCCTTCGTGTTCATTAGTCCAACGGACTCCCGACCCCCGTATGCCCAAGGATCTCACAGGTAAATACTCATGAAAGGTAGAGCACTGAGCAGGAATACCATTAAGACAGAAGAAAAAAAAAGCAAACACTATGATTCAATCTTCCCCATTCTAAAGCTATATTAAGACGGATTTTAAGACACTCATAGATTTGCTGGTGGGCATGCAAAGTGTTGCCATCAGTGTGGAGAGCAACTGGGCAGCTCCTATCACTATTCCAAGTGCATTTGACCTGACAGTTCCGCCTCGAGGAATTTATCCTATCAATATGTTAACATATGCAAATGAGACCTATAAAAGGCCACTGCCATTGTTTGTAATAGCAGGAGACTGGAAGCAACAAGTGCCCATCAGAAGCAGCTGGGTAATAAATGGGTCACGGCCACAGGAAGAAAGAGCACGAAGGGAGAAGCTCTGGTGTTGATCTGGCAAAAAGCAGAATAAAGTGTGGGTGGAAACGGCAAGGTGAGAACAGAGTGTGTGTTGGGCTGGCATTTATGTAAAATGTGTTCCAGAGGATTTGGAAGCTTGTATCTGCTGAAATGTACAGAAGATAAATTGTGATGGGATTTACAGAGACTGCCAGGAGCAGTGATCCTGGAGTGGAGATCAGGATGAGGGAGAACGATGGGGGGGGGGGGGGCGGTTGGGGGGGAGACTTTTTAATATATCGCTTTTCCAAAAATAGTTAAAACACCACTGCAAACAGCAAGAATGTTGTTTTTGTTGTTGTTGTTGTTTGTTTCGTTTTGTTTTTTACTTGTTAAAAATTAACAAATTATTTATGCACGGAAGAGACTGAAGTAAAGCACACCAGAATGTTAATTAGGGCTATGTCTAGATGTCTAGGTTCTGCGAGTAGGGGACATTATTTTTCCTTTGGCCAAATATTCTAAGGTTCACAGGTATACTTCTGGAATCTTAATATGATCCAATAAATATTTTCAATGTTAAAGAAAAATGGGGTCGTGGAACGTCCTCTGAATTTTGCTCATCATCGTCTCTAAGTAAACTGTCTTGAGAGCCCTTCTGTCATCTCAGCCTTTCTGGACATTGACTCTCAAACGTAAACTTTAAACTGTTCTCCAAAGAGAAGTCCTTTGACCAAAATTCTGCTCCCGTATCAGCATTTCGTCGACACTCATTGACTTTTTCCTTGGACCTTGCAACCTGGTACAGCCCTGTAAGAAAGTTCTGGACAATGGGATGTAAGCAGGAGGGTAGTGGGACTCGAAAATGCTCCTTTTTCAAAAGGGAAAGGGCTGCTCTTTCCCTTTCTAACCCTCCTCTGTTTAAGCCGTTAGCTCTCAGATCTTTGCTGGTGCAAAGGGAAGATAAAGAAACTGGGGTGCTGGGTGGCACAGGCGGTTCTCCAATTCTCTAGCTCAGCTCAGGTCTTGATCTCAGGGTCGTGAGTTCACGCCCCACGTTGGGCTCTCTGCTGGCCATAGAGTTATGTTAAATAAGTGAGTAAGTAAGTAAGTAAAGGGCCATGTCTTCCTTCCAGGAGCTTACATTTATTTAATTTATTAGCCTGTATGCAGATATATAGAATAACTTGAAGTGGAACCCAAGAAAATACATGTAGGCTGTCATGATTAAGAGAGGGGAGAGTATGTTCCCTAATCTACAACAAACACAACCAGGTTGTTGCTCTCTGAAGGATGTGCTTCCTGCGAAGAAGAAGAGTTGTGACGGGAGAAGGAGCTCAGCCACGGGAAGAGTCTGTCATCCAGCTAAAATGCTAGACTCAGTACCTCCTCTGTGCAGGGGGCAGTGGGCTGGGGGTGATGGTTCTCTCCAGTGCAGCCTCGGGGGAGCGGGTCAAGGGAAAGAAGGAAGTGTGGGGGGACTGGGGACCTTGTCCTCTCCCCTGCTCCACTTTTTGCTAAGCTCTGGGCAACGAAGCACCCAGGACAAAATACCCACTGAGCTGGGGTCCCCCGTGGGGGTGAGCAGAGATTTGCAAGGGCTAGTCCCTTACTACCTTCATTCTTGGGATTTTGTGATCCTTGTATGCCACTGGGGAAGGTTGTAAATCCTTTTTATTTTTTTTTTCAAGTATGTAGGTTACATTTATTGAGAGTGAGAAAAGAAATCACAACTTCCATACAGAAAGCAACAGATAACAAACCCATCACATAATCCAGAACAATAACATAAATGCTCTCATTAATTAACTGCCTGACCTAGCTCCGTGATACTCATTTCTTAGATTTCTTGGCTGCATTCTCTCGGATTATCTTTTCATTTAACAGCAATGTGGAAAAATCATCTGCTACAGAGATGTGATCGTGACTAAGCTGCTGTCTCTCAACTCCACACCCTGTCTTCTGTACTTAGCTCGGAGATGCTAGACCGGGTAGCCTGCCAACAGGGGGCACTAGAGGGAGAGTGGCGGCAGGAAGTGAGAGCTCATGCTCTTCCTCGTTTAATTCGCTGTTCCCACCAGCATCACCCCAGCAAGGGCTCCTCACCACTGGACGCCGTCCCTTCTCTCGACTTATAAGTCACAGAATCCAACGAATTACCTTCCTGGTTTAAGCCAGTTGAGCTTTCTTTCATTTTTTGTTTTCCCTTGTAACCAAAAGCACACTAAACCACATACTTTACCGAAGGGACGTTGATAGGTTTTCCCACTTACATATATAGAAAACCTCTAATCCTTTACTAAAACAGCTAAGCACAGAACAATGGACTAACATTGTCCATTTAAAGAGCACAATTTGGGAACGACTTTCTCAGGCATAAAAGCAGTACTGGCCTCATGACCTCTTCCCAAACACATTTCTTAGTTTTCCCAATTCGGGATTTTTATGACAAGAACCTTTGGCTCCTTCCTCTCAGCCACGGAGGTTGGATTGCTTTGTGTCCCAAATCATGTGACTGAAATCCGATTGGAATGCCGGGCTTCAGCAATGGCTTCTTAGATGAGAAACCTCTGACTGTCATGGAATTTTCTATTTAACCAGAAGCCACTCACCTCTCGGCAAAGGACCACATAGAAGGCGGTGATAGGGGAGAGATGTCTTCCCCTGGTGCTCTACTCAAAGTTCTCCCCCCATGTTAGGGACGGCTGGGCTGGGGGGAGATAAGTTGTATGGTTTCCTCCGACATTAAGAGAGTTAGGCAGAGTCATTTAATTTTCCTAATCAAACATTCTCTGTCAGTTCACCTTTGGGGGTGGGGAGGAGAGGAATGAAAAACACCAACAAATTCATTCTTTCCTGTTCTTGCTGGTCATTTATTTCTCGCTTATATCACATTCGGGGTATGCTGACACTAGGGGGTCTCTGCCCTACACAACCGTACAGGTACCTAGGTTCCTTCTGTCCACTGGTGCCCCCA